TTTAAAGTGAGTAAACAGGGAGCCAGGCACCCAGAGGAGAGAGGTTAGAGGATGGGGAAGCCGGGGCGATGCTTCCCTGCCTGGGGGGGAGCTTGTGCAGCCCCTTCCCCACACACTGCTCCTCCTCAGGAAGCAAGGAGCTGCCCAAGTGCCTTCCACATCTCACGGATCCTCCTTGCTCCCTACACTTCCCCAAGGCACCTGCCCTTCCTTCCCTGGAGCAATTAGGGCTCCTCATCATTACCCCCCACCATGAGTTTGCCGACTGAAGGATCTTCCCTGGTGCAGGACGTGGGGCAGCAGGAGGAGCTGCACTCGCAGCTCAGCTGCATCTCTCTTTTCTTTATATCGTAGTGGATTGGGTAAAGGGTGTGCAAAGACACAAGTGTTTCCCCCCGTACCACGATGCTCTGGGGGGATGCAGGGATGGAGCAAGGCTGCAGAGCTCCCAGCATCCATCCCCAACCTGTGCTGGAGACTGACACAGGGGTGTCCGGGCTGTGACGGGCTGCGTGTCACAGAGCTCTTCTTTTCCAGACAGTGACCTTCCTCCACCCCATGCATCAGCCTTTCATTTTCCTGAACTCAAAACTGGCAAACGCAGGTGAAGGATGAGGACATGATGTGAGGGTTGTTAAAGCAATTCGTGGCACTTTGCGCTCCTGCTCCCTCCCAGGCCATTCCCGCTCGCCTGAGATGCTCTTTGGAAAGCAGCGAGCTGCGTTTCCCCCGTCGGTTCTTGCGCACGGCTCCCACGTCACTGCTCGAGCTCTTGTTGTTCTTGCCTTCACAGACGGGACAGGAAGCGACGGCGCAGACGGGACTCGTTCTCCCTCGAGAAACCTCCCACCAGGCTCAGCACTGGTGCCATCACCGGTGGGTTTGTCCTGCAGCCAGGAACACCTTTCCAACCAGGGAGGCAGCTCTGTGCGTCCCAGAGCCCGTAACGTGGGGCAGCGTGACCCCGGGGGATGCTCGCAGCCAGCTCCCCATTTGCCCGAGCACTGAGGATGTTCAGCTCTAGCCACCTCCCTGGGAGACCTGGCCCAGGAATGACAAGAAGTGAGGCTTAGCTCCAGGTTCTGGGTGTGTGCAAACCACAGGGAGATTTTGCTGCTGGGAAATGTTTCTGTCAAATAATGCCGGCTGCTGCCTCAAAGCCCACAGCAGCACAGGGATGGGGGCAGGGATGGGGCAGCTCTCAGCGCAGCTGCGGGCTCTCAGTGAGGAAACACAAGTGATTTTGGTGAGTGGGGAGCAGGTGGAGGAGAAAACACATAAATGAAATGGAAGGGAGAAGAAAGGCTGTGTTTAAAGGTTAACACTTGCACTGGGAGAGAGCAGGGGAAGGTCTGTTCTCTTCAACAACATCTGCTGACGAAGTTGTCTCACAGCTATTTGGTTTGGGTTTTTTTCTTAAAAGACCAATTATGTCCCTTTTTTTCCACTGTACTTGCCTGCACCCTCCTTGAGTAGGGAGTCTGATGAACATCATTGTGAGATCTCACGTCGTCATCACCTTCCGAGTGCGGTAGCATTAGTTCACACCTCCCACACTCGTTGCATTTAATACAGCAAGAAAAAAACCTGGCACAGCATGAGAATGAGATTACAGCAAAAAAAATACTTTCCGCTAAATTACCACAGTGTTTTCACGAACCTCAAAATTGTACCTTCCCTTTCTTCCTGGTCCCTTACTTCCCTGAGACGTGCGGAGGAGGGGGTTTACATCCCACTACAACACGCACGTGGAGTCCCGGCACGGTGCTGCGACAGAGGATTGCAGGGCTCCAGCACCGAGCACGTAGGGTTGCTTTGTCCTCTTCGGGCCCTGAGCCTGCGATGTGCTGGAAGGTGACTTGCTCATGGCATAATTGTTTTCTGTCACCAAAAATGACTCAGGTGGCAACCTGAAAGCTCTGAGCTGCACCGATCCCTTCGGCACAATGAAGCCGTGTCCATCGCCGCCCAGGTGAGGCTGACCCCGATGGCAACCGGCCAGTGCCTGGGAGCTGAGCACCAGCCCTAGGTGTCCCAGTCTCCCAGGCAGCCCCCAAATTCACATCCGAAAAGTAGTGGATGAGCAGAGACCGTGTCACCCCAGGCCTCACAGAGCTTCGGCAGGCAAGTGTTTCTGCTGCGCCGTGAGAGGCAGATTTTAACGTGGGAGCTTCCCCGGCGCTGGTACAGAGCAGGCAGGGTGGCTGTGGTCAAGGAGGGCTCTGACAGCACTTTAATCCACACCCTCACCAATAGCCCCTGGGCACTGTGGAGCCTCTTCCAAATCATTCCAGCTGATGAAAGGAGCTCTTCTCCTCCACAAGCACAGAAACACAGCATGGGTTGGGTTGGAATGGACCTTAAAGATCAGCTGGTTCCAACCCCCCTGCCATGGGCAGAGACACCTCCCACCAGCCCAGGTTGCTCAAAGCCCCGTCCAGCCTGGCCTTGCACCCTTCCAGGGATGAGGCATCCACAGCTTCTCTGGGCAACCCATGCCAGGGTCTCACCGCCCTCACAATAATGAATTCCTTCCTTTTATCTGTCCTAAATCTCCTCTCTTTCAGTCTGAAACCATTACTCCTTGTCCTGTCATTACATTACACATTACATTACCCAATACCTCTAGGAAGACAAAAAGGTGATGGAGGTGTCTGGTTAACCACCAAGCAATTTTGTGCGCTGGCTGGGCAGCGGCAGCAATGCCCGATTGTCTGTAGGGGACGGGGTGTAGGGGGCGAAGGAGCTGCCTCCAGGAGCTCTGGCAGGATTTCACCCTGTGGGCAGGGACAGATGCTGCTGCTCTGGCTTTTTTCTAAGCAGAAGCAGGAGAAGGGGGGATTCCCTGGGCTAAAACCAGTGCGGATGTGCCAGATGTTTCGTGGGCTCCAGCAGTACCTGCTCAGGGTCTGCGCTCACTGCAAAACCAAAGTCAGAATTAGAGTCCTGACCCTCTGTTAAAGCCTTTATCAGAAAAACCTATAGACTAAAAGTTGGCAGTTTCGGCTGATCCCAGGGATGCAGAATAACACCCCTGGGTTGTCCCTTTGTGTTTCCCCTTTCAGCTCACAGGAAATGAATCTGCAGCTTCTCTCTCTGCAGGAGCGCGGTTTGCAGCTGCACCGAGCACACGGTGCCGGCAGGGCAAAAAACATCCGCAACAGCATCCCTGGGGAGGGTCATCTGGGGCTGGAGGGGCCGCTGTCAGCTTACAAGAGCTGCTTGATCCTCCCAGGCAGACCAGCATCTGCAGTCTGGATTTCTAGTGAGATAAGAACTTGTTTTCTCCGGAAAGTTTCAGGGGAAATGAAGTGGCTAGTTTGAGTCAATTTGAGAGCCAAACACTCCTTGCTTGTCAGAGAGGTGTGGGAAAGTGTTCTGCAAGATGCCTCCTGCATCCCCGCAGCGTTCCCCCTGCAGCATCCTCCCTGCATCCCTGCAGCATCGCTCCCACATTCCTGCCTGTCGCATTTCAAGCTCGCCCAGCTGGCAACAAAGAACCACGAAGTGGCTCCCTCATTCCTATCCCCCTCATCTTCGGGATGGGGAGGAGAAAATTGAACAAAAGGCATCGAAATTAAGGTCAGGGGAGGTTCACTCACCACTTAGAGTCACGGGCAAAGAACAGAACAGACTTAGAGAGAAAACCTTCAATTTAATTTAGACAACTGCCACTAGTTTATGAATGATTAGCTCAGAGTAGGATACTGAGAGAAAACAAATAGAACCAGATCTTAAAAGAGGCTGTCTCAGAAGGTTTCCCCTATTAAATATATTGATCACAGAAGTGCTGATGGGCCTGGCCTTGGCCAGAGGTGGGTCTAAATATCACCTGGGCTGGGGAAGGCTCTGGAATTTTTGCAAGGAGCCACACCCCCCCCAACACACCCCCCGAAAAAAACCCAAAATGAATAGTGCTGGAGGGCAGCCCTGGTTCCCTGCTGGTTCCCAGCTGAGGGTGATGAGGTCCTGATGAGAGGTGCAAAGTGGTGGAGGAGCTGCAGCTGCAGCACATAAACCCTCAACCCTATAAAACCCAGAGAGATGGGAGAAGGCTCACTCCAGGAGCAAGCACCAACAATAGGGAGTTTTTGGGAGTCTGTTTTCAAGACTCCTGGTTCAGGTATGAAAGTGTTTTACATTTGGGAGGGGTGTCACGTTGTGGTTTTTTTGCTTTGCTTTCTCTCCCACGCCAGGCTGCTCTGAGTACCTCATTCTGTCTAAATATTGGTGTTCATGGCTACCTTTCTCTGCTTGTGGGTGACTGGCTGTGAGATGGGAGCCCTGTGGGGTTGCAAGTGGGGAGCAAAGGACGTTTTCTGGGTATACAGGCTACAGCCCCAAGGGAGCAGCTTTCCTGCAAACCGTGGGATGAAATTCTGCTGCTGCCCGAGTCACCGTGTAGCTCTGCTAGAGGTGGGTGCAGGTTGGAGTGGGAATCCTGTACCTATTCCTGTATTTTGGCAAGCTCCTGGAATGAGTGGCAATGTCATCTTAATGCTGTTGTGTTGGCCTTGGTAGGGGATGCTTCGGTCTGTAATGTCAGCTTGGTCAAGATGGACTGTGGGAGCAGAGAGGGGAAGTGACTGTGTGCACCCAGGGCCATGAATGACATGGAGGCAGCAGAGCCCAAGTGGGACCTGGGGACCAGACAGCTTAGGGAAGGACTTCAGTGTCACCTCTGAGCCTTCGTACCAGCCTGTGGTGAGGCTGCCTCTTCCCCATGGAAGCAATGCTTGGGTGGATGGTGCCTCCCTGAGGAGCAGAATGTGTTGGCTTCACCTCTGCAGCTGCAGACTGAGTCTGTGCCTGGTATCTAAACAAGGCTCAGCTGGGGGCAGTGCAGGGCTGGGGAGCAGGTGACACTCAAGAACACAAAATTATTTATTCATGCTTTCTGTAGCCAGTCTGTAGCCATAAAAAAATCTGCTCCCTGGGCCTCTGGCATGGGTGTCGCCTCAGTAGCATCTCCGGTGGACGATGTGTGGCCCTTCTTCATCCTACTCGTCCCGTCGGATCCACCATGTCTGGAAGTTCTTGAGGGAGGTGAGGATGGACCCCCCTATCCATGCTGAGTACCTCCGCAGCAGTGTGGCGACAACCCCAACCTCAGTGCTGGGTGGCAGGCTTTGGAGGAACTCGCTGCAAAACCTTCTCTCTAGTCTCTCAAAGAGAGAGGACCCCCCGCACAGGAGAATATTTTTGTACGTGATCGACCTGATATCTTCAGGCACTTTGTCAAGGCTTCTGTGGGCCATCTCGTGGATGCCCATGTAGGAAATGCCCCAGTTTGATGGAGGGTTAAAGAGTATTTCTGGGCATTCAAACCTCTCCCTGCTGAGGCTGATGGTCTGGCCATCAGGCAGGGGGAAATCCAGGGTGCAGCTGACTGGTGGGAGCTGGCACTCGCTCTCAAAGTTGGAAGCAACGTAGCAGCACTTGTGCTTGATGTCTTCCACTATATGGGCCATCTTGTTGCTGAGCGTGTACCCCAGGTCCTCCAAAAGCATCATCAAGTACCAGGAGAGGTGTGACCCTGCTAGTTCCATCCTCTTGGTAGCATGTGCCAAGCTGTAGCCCTCATGGACTGGCACGGTGTGGCTGGCTGCGTAGCCCACGTCCACCACCAAACCGCTGGTTCTGCCATTGGCGTAGGTGGAGAGGAGAGGCTGCTCGGCAACAAAAAAAACAGGGGAGCCCAGCGACTCAAACGCAATCTCTATCATCTTCTCTCGGTGGGTGGTGGGGCTGAGCGGGGGCTCAGTGATGAGCAAAGCATACTCGTCAGCAGGGACCTGAAGCTCATGGTCAAACAGATGCTGCCACAGGGTTTCGACCTCATCCCAGTTGATGAAGACACCGTTCTGTATCGGCTCGGTAATTTCAGTGTCGGGGCAAAGCAAGGCTTGCTCTCCAGTGAAATCCTTGGGCCTGTCTTCTCCTGACCCTGAGGAGATGCCCACTGGGGTGTTGATTTCCACTATGGGTGTCTGCTGTCCAGAAAACCCTGCTTTACAGCTCCACGTGCCCGTATCAATCACCACTGCTCCTGTTCTCGACCGCAGTTCAGTGCTCGAGGACCTGGACGTGCTGTGGGAGCTGGTTCTGACCCCAGGCCCGTGTGGTCCTTGTGACATCTGAGCAGTGCAGGCACTGGGGGGGTGAGGCCCTGCTCCTAGATGGTCCTGGTGCCTCTTTTGGGAAGCCCACATCCCCTGGTCCCTGCAGAGCTGGGTGGCCCTGTGCCCTCCCCCCAGGGGAAACCCAGCCCTCAGTGGGTTGGGGAAGAAGAACAGACAAAGGGAACTGTGATGTCAGCTGTGTCTGCGGTGGTGGCAGTGGGTACCCCCTTGGTTACCATGTGTCCTGGCCTATCACTAGGCCTCTGGTCTACCCCAAAAAGGTCAAGTCTGTCTCGCTGTGGAAGGTGTTGATTCCCTTTACAAACAGGATTGAGTTACTCTGCCTTTGTCCTGTGCAGCCCCCTCGTCCCATCCCCGTGGGTGGGTGTTTTCTCATGGTGAAATGGTCCCTTTGCCAAAACGCTGGTGGGTCAGGGGGGTTGTGGCTGCTGCTCCTAGCCTGGCACCCTCCAAATAATGGATTAGCTGCAGATGTGCTGTTGCAGATGTAGAAATGTCTCTGGGACCAGCGTCTGTGTTTGCAGTGCGACGTTATCGGGCTCTTTCCTCGGTCTTACATGAAAAATGGGTATTTAGCAATGCTGTCCCAGGGTTGGAGTCGAGGTCCTGCACTGCAGCAAGGCTCTTTGGACCTGGTTAGATTGGCTGGCAAGTGGTGGTTACAGGGAGCAGGGAGGTGCCTCTCACCTCTGACAGGATTTTCTCCCTCTGTGTCCTGAGCAAGTTTAAAGCCCTGGTGCTGGATGGCGTTACCTGCTTTTTAACAGGTGTGTGTCAGAAAACTGAATGGTGATACCCACCTCTGGGTCATGTGTCCTGGGTGGATTTTGTGATTTGCCTTTGGGTTTTTTTGTGGTCCTCTTTATTTGGTTATTTTAACTTGTAATGCTGTTTGGCCAGAAGCCAGGGCCCTGAGGAGTCCCTCCTTGGGTACAGTGTACCCAGGGCTGCTCCTTGGTTACACACACCCAGGAAAAACGGCTCCTTGCTTCCTGCAGGGCTCATCCCTTCTTGTAAAATACTGCTCAACGCTGTCTGGAGGTGACAGGATGGGGTGGCTGCTGCGTGGATGTTTGTGGCAGGGATCCAGCTTGCTTTTGCAGCAGAACAGGGGATGCTGGGCTGAGCTGTGGGCACAAGAGCTGAAGAAGAGTTTTGTAGCCTCACTACTGCTTCTTTCACTGATGCATTGGGCAAGCTGCAAGGTCAAGCATAAAAATATAACTTCTGAGTTTTCTTTCTCCTGCAGCTCATAAATCTGGTGCATTTTACTGGAGAGGAGTGGGTGCACTTGTGCAGAGGAAAGAGGGGACACCCAGTCCAGCAGTGGCTCAGAGTGAAATTTGCATTTGCTTTTTGTGGGGTGGCAGGAGGGAAACAAAATTCAGCAATTGCAGTGCTGACAAAATAAAGCTTTTTCTCCTGATAAAGTAACTGCTTCATGGATTAAATTCCTGGCTGGGTGCAGTTTGCCCCCGCTGCAGGCTGCCCTGTGCTGAGGTCCCCAGTGGAGCTGGGCAGGAGGAAGGCCGATGAGCTGCAGTTGGTACTGAAGCAATGAAGGGGATGAACAGAAAAGCTGTGCAGTTGATGTTGGAGTTGTAAATACCTGCAGCAAAGCTGGGGCCTTGCACTGGTGCTGTCTGTGGGGTGAGAGGTCTGGGCTCTGCTCTGGATGAAGCAGCTCAGGTTATTCAGCTTCTCCTCTCCTTTGAAGGTGGATGGAGTTCTGCCACTGGGAAATGGTGCTGAGAACAGGAGGTGAAGGAGGTGTCTGAAGGTGTGCCCTTGCTGCACAAAAGGCTTATTGACTCTTTCCAAAACAGATGGAGCATTTTTCTATCTGTAAGAGCCAAATTGAATAGGAATTGCTGGGGAGAATGATGAGAAGCAGCTGAATCTTTTATCGCTGCAGTTCGAGCTTGTTCTTGCTGTTCAGCACAAAATGCTTCAAGAGCTGAAAAGAAGGCAATTAGGAAGGCAGCACCGGGAGGTCTGTCTAGTCCTGTGCTGGGAAAAGAGGTGACGGGGTGCTGCTGGATGCCAGTTTGCACACTGGTAGCAGCGGGGACCCTGAGTTGACCCCGAGACAAGCACAAGGACAGAAATGCCCCAGTGCCTCTGCAGTGCAAGGGGAGACAACAGGCTCTGCTGGGGGGGAAGCAGCCCCGGAGGCTGGTGCTGCAGCCAGACAATGATGGAACTGGGTCCAGGGTGGTCCCTGAGGTCAAGCTGAGCCTCTTCTCTCCCTTGCTCTGCCCTTCCCCATCCCTGATCCCTGCCTGGGGTTGGGTCACCAGGCCGGGGGCTGACCCACCTGTGTCATGCGCCTGTTTGGCTCCACAGCAAATGCCGGTGGGCATCCAACCGTAACGTGAAGTGCATTGTGACACAGCGCAGGGGATGCCGAGAGGCACTGTGGTATGCGAAGGCTCCTTCTTCTTGGAAAGCAGCCCCTCAGGGAGGCTCATGAGCACCAGCTATCCCCAGAGTGTGCTTGAGTTTGGCCCCTCCTCGCAAGCTGCTGTTGCTTTCTCAGCTCCTTTTCCCTGTTGTCTTGGTGTCCCTTTTTCAGTGTGTTCCAGCTTTAGTTTTGGGGGTTGGATATGGGAGATCAGCTGGCACGGTTGGGGTTTGACTCTCCTGCCCATGGTGACAAGGATGGGTGGGCTTGGATGTGTGTGGCAGATCCTGGTCTGCCCGTGGGCCTTGGTGGCAGTGCCAGGGAGAGGAGGGTGCTCGGCACAAGTGGCTGTGGCCGTTTCTGCAGAAAAGTGTGTTTGCAACAGCTGGGGAAATGACATCTCGTGGTGTTGCTGGGCAGGCTGCCTTGCCTCTTTGGATCTCCTGGAACAGGTCAGGCAGAGCTGAGCGTGGCTGTGCTGCATCTCAGCTAAAGAGCTTTTCTAAGTTAGATCAGCTACGTGTGCCTTTGAGCAAATGTAAATTTGCCCCGCTGCTCTCGGGTTTGTCCTGGAGCTTAAGGTGTTACTCAGCACCTGAGAAACTTCCCCCCCCAGGGAAACTTTAGTTATTTTCTGTATTTTAGTATTTTCTGCGTTCCTTTTGTCCCTGGTCCAGACAGGGCGGTGGTGCCAGCACAGGGGCTGCTGGTGTGTGCTCTGCAATGTGTGCTGGGACTCTCCTGTTTCCAGCAAACCAGTAGAGCCTGAGGCAGGAGCTGGTGTGGCTCACAATGCCAAGAGGCAGCTCTTCTCCCATGGCCATGGTGTAAAAAAAAACAAAAAAAAAAACAAAAAAAAACCCTAGGAAACTTGTCCAAACAAATAACACCTTTCTCTTGCAGCAGGTGCTGGCTCTCACACCTGTGTTGTTGTTCACATCACTTGTGTGTTTATGAGGGTAAGAGATGGGGAGAGGAGAGCAGGGCACTGGGGTACCAGGATGAAAGAAACAGAGGTGTGGCAGGGAGGGTTGGCTGAGGATCCAGGTGTTGACCCAGGGCTGCCAAGGCACGAGCTGGTGTTCCGACCCCACCAGCCCTGCTCTGTTGTGGAGTTTTTCGTGAGTGCCAGCTGCCAAAACCTGAGCTGGGAATTCCCTTCACTCACATCACTTCTGTCGTGCGATAGCTGCTGCAGCCAGAGCATGCTAGATGGCATGGGGACTTGCAAAGGTCTCTTCCAAGGAGGTGTGAAAGCTTTTAATCCAAGGTCACTGACATAATATTGGGTGCTTGGAAAACATTTGCTTGATCAGGCAAACAGATTTCTAATCCTCTGTGTAAGAAACTCTGCACTGAGGAACCTGACCCAGGGGACAAACTGGTCCAACCTGCAATTGAGGAGCTTTATTTTGAAAGTAAAAAGCTGGCTTGCTTGTGTAGAAACCTTGCCTGCACCGGCAGGATTAATAACTAAATGTGGTTTCGTTAATCTCTGTGCTTTCACTTTCAGCAGAGAGTTCATCTAACGTTAGTATCAAATAATTACCTAAAGATCAGCACGATCTCCTATGCTCTGTAAGAAATTGAGGCGTGTGCTCAGATGCTCTTGTGGGAGTCTGTCTGGCTCAGGTGGTCCGGAGGGACGATAAAGGTTCTGCTCTTCATAACATCAGACCCTGCACTTTGGGATGCCCAAGACAACTGAGGAGCAAAAACTCAGGTATTTTAGTAGGGGAAAAAGTAGTTTCTGATTTGAGATAGAAAGTGTTGCTACAGGGAAAATCTAGCTCCAACCCCTCTGCCATGGGCAGAGACACCTCCCGCTAGACCAGGTTGCTCGAAGACCTGTCCAGCCTGGCCTCGAACACTTCCAGTTGCATCCACAACTTGTCTGGGCAACCTGTTCCAGTGCCTCAGAAGTAATGAATGTCCTTGCAAAACGCAGTCCTGGTAGTCTTTATTTTCTGTTGGTTGTGCAATATCTGTATAAAATCCTGACGTGCTTTAAAAATATTTTCTTCAACATCTGTGGTGTTGGCAGTTTCCCACAGTGTGAAAACAGTTGTGGTAACAGTACAAGGATTTTCTTCAAGACAAGAAAAAATGCTAAACATAATTTATTAAAGAAATATTTTCCTAGTACTTGTAAACATTTTTTTCCTTCATCAATGGAGGAGCAGGTCTGTGAAGCTGGACTTCACCTGTTATGTTAATGTACTTTTCTTGTGTTCAGGTGTGGGAAGTACACCCCGTACATGCCTTGTTGAACCTGGTATAGATGAGACTTTCTTCTCAGGCAGAAGATGATCTGGTGGGAAAATAACAATGATTATGGCAAAAAAAAGAAAGAATTTGCACTTTGCCCTTCATTGGATGCCCCCCAACTATGTGAATTCAATGTCTGCCTGAAGCTGCCTCGGCAGATGCTAGCATAACGCCTAATTTCATATCTGAGGGTTTTTCCTTTTCTAAATCCTCCTGACTGTGATTCTTACTTGTAAACCTCCAAGGACGATAATCTGTGTTCTTTGTATGTTTAGCTCTTCTAGCTGGAACAGAGCAAACACAGCTTCTGTTCTTTCCAGGG